ATATGAAAAATTAATTTCATCTTTTTTTCATAACATAAACTTTTTTTCTAAATAATGAGTGAAAATATAATTTTATTTTTCTATTGTAACATGATTTTTTTCAAAACTTTTGATAATTTATAAATATAATTTTATTTTATTTTTGTAACATTATTATTAATAATCTAAAACATCAGTTTTTTTAAAACTTTTGATAAAAAAAATAAGATAATAAGATAAGGGTACCAAAACTTAAGACAAATGAATATAGGAGGATTCAAAATTATAATTAAGTTTAAAAAAAATAAATATGAAAAGATTAACTCGCCGGATCAAGAAATTCACTAGTTCGCTTGTCTGATCAGTGAACCAGTCGGGTCACACCGGTTTTTATCGGGTCAATTGCAACTATGGTCCAATGATCTTACCAAACTGCTCTACCATCCGTTTCACGGTCTAATTGGTCCGACCGGCCGGAACAGTCCATGTTTTTAAACACTGAGGGTAAGGTGAGAGAAACCAAAAAATGAGGGGAGATTTAGAATTAATAAAAGATGACTTACGTTTTTAATTTAAAAGAAAATTAGAGAAAAAGTTAGAGGAGGCAATATGTAGAATTTAGAGCAATAGAATTTTGGAGAGGTAAGTGTGAATTTAGGATTCCAAAGAGAATATTAAAAAGAATCAGCAGAATTCAGGTAAGGTGAGAATTATTCTTTAATGGGTATATTTTTCTTAAAGGATACGAAGGTATCCTAAACTTTTGATTTTGGAGAGAAGTGTGAACCTAAGATTCCAAAGAGAATATTAAAAAAAATTATGCAGAATTCAAGTAAGTTTGGAATTATTCTTTAATGAATGTACTTTTCTTAAAGGATAGGGAGGTATCCTAACCCTCTTAATTTTGGAGAGGCAAGTGCGAATCTAGGATTTCAAAGAGAATACTAAATTTTGTGTGTGTGCAGAATTCAGGTAAGGTGAGGATTATTCTTTAATTGGTGTATTTTTCTTAAAAGATATAGAGGTATCCTAACCCTCTTTCTCCATTATTGAGAATTTTCAATTTATGGGATGGTTGTGTCTACCTCTCTGGATTATCATGGTTTGGTTCTATTTTATGTTGTGATTACATGATGAAATTCGTATGCAATTGTATGAGAAAAATTGAATTGGTGTTGTTTATATTTTATGCTTTGGTGATGATGAATATAAAATTGAAATTGCATGATAAATTGGTGTTGATGTGTAATTGATGCTGATTTGGTGAAGTTTCTGTCTAATATAACATGGGTGATGCGTTTTTGTTTGATTCGGGTGGTTGGGGTTGAAATCAGAGCTTTGGAAATGCTCAAATGGCAGAAAATATAATTCTGCATTCTGCACAATGGTGACAGGCATCATTGTCGCTACGCAAAAAATGACACAGAGTCGCCACCGGATTTTATTTATCCCAAGGAGGAAAAGGGAAATAGCGATAAAACCTTTAGGAAAAGAGCATGGTCATCGCAACCAAGTCTTAGGGTTCGGGAGTCGGTTATGCGAGGGGAAGGTGTTAGCACCCCCTCACATCCATCGTACTCGATGAGAACCTTCTAGGTTGTTTAGCTTGAATGGGTGCTTTAGTCTAAAAGTTTGCTTGCTTAAAGGAAAAAGGGATTGGTTTTTTATTATAATGCTCGCCAAGGATTGTGGCCCTTGTGCCTACGTATCCTCACTTAAAAGAAGTGAAGAATCAGAGCTCTGTAGTTCGGAGGCTTGTGAAATGATTGTTTGTTGGTTGATTTTATACCTTGAAAAAGAGTTTTCGGATTGATGCCCTAAGGCAAAAAGAAGCTTGATGAGTTGATGTTATTTTTAGGTTTTTGAAGAGAAATTGTTCTTGACTAGGATCACACAAAAACTTTGGATAGAGATGAATGTTTCGAATAACCAAGTCGAGCGCCTTGTATTCAAAACATTCAGAACGAGTGTAGGAGGGTTCCATTCTCATTCCTTCTCCACCACTTTAAAGTTTATGGTGTATAACCTCAATTGTATCTTTATTGTGTTTTGGATTTTTTATGAGAAAAATACCACTTGATGTTGGATCAAGGGTTTTATTGTTTGTAAAAATATTTGAAGTGATGCGAACAAGGTCGATGGCGAACGCACAAGGCGGTCGACTTACAAGGGTGAAAATGGCTCGGTAAAATTGATAGTTTATTTTTGAAAATGGTTTTGGAAACAAAAGTCAAACGTAACCATAATAATGTCCACACACAATAGCCGTTCAACCATATCGGGTTAGTCGGCATAAAAAAAACACAAAACATGAAGAAAAAAAACAACGAACTCCTTGAAAATTTTTTTTTTTTGGGAAAAACTAGAAAAACAATGGGAAGTTCGCTAGGCGAGGGTTGTAGCGAAGCTACCCAGAAACAACAAGAAGTTCGTTGTGCGAACCTTGCAGTGAAGCTGCAAAAAAAAAAACAACAAGAAGTTTGTTGTGCGAACTTCCAGCAAACGAAAACAAAGGTGAAAGAGGGCAAAGTTCGCTAGGCGAAGGTGCCAGCGAACATGACAGAAAAAAAACATCAAGAAGTTTTCTAGGCGAACTTCATGATGTTTTGCCCAGAATACGTCTTTTTTATGGAAACAGAGGGAAAATAGGGCAAAGTTTGCTAGGCGAACTTGCCAGCAAACATGACAGTAAAGATGAGTATTTTTCAACTCATCTTACTATGTCAACTACACTATGTTCTTTCTCTTTTCTTTGCTCTTTTACAACATTTCTTGGTCCTATCAAGACCTTATTACAGTATACAACACAAGAAATAAACACATGGAAATATGCAAAAATGTAAACAAGATAAGGGTTTGAAGGGAAGGATACCCAAGAGCTACTATCTTCCTTCACCAATGGCCTTTGTTGGATGTGCTTCTATGGTCCACCTCCTTCTTCTGGTTCTTTTGTTCCTTTCTTGTTCTCTCAAAGTTTTCTTTTCAAACTCTTTTTCTGTTTTTTCTCTTACTCTTTTTTTTTTCTGATTTTTCCTCAATGCCTTTTTTGCTCTCAATATCTCTCGCTCTCAAAGTGTAGTGAATCCTTGTTTGTAGCCTCCTCTCCTCTCTTTATCTCAGCACATTAGGGTTTTCCCTTCTTTCAAAACATCTGACTTTTTTATAGAGAAATGTCTCTTGCCACTTTCCTCATGTCACTCTCTTTGTTTCCATTTTCATGTATGTTGCTATGTTGTATTTTTGCTGCACTAATTGCCTATGCTGTCTTTTTTTCTACAGCACTTTACATTGCCCTTAAACCTTGTACTCATTTGTTGGCTTATGCTTGGACTGCCCCTTTTGGTCAATGTTAACCTTTGGACAAAATTTTAAAATTTTGATATTTGATGTGTAGATGCATCACCATGAGTTTATTTCCTTGGTCTTGTGACATGTAATGGTTTTGTGATATAATGCAAATTGTCACTTCTTGCATGGGGCTGTTTTGGATCACATTCAAATTGCCCATGATTAAGCAAGTATAGTCTTGATCTTGACATGTTCCAATGTTAAGTTGTATCTTCATTATTTTCCTTGGATGTTTGCAAGCATAATGTTGAACATGTAAACTTGTTGGGGCATGAAGGGTACCATAGCATGAATTTGATTAGAAACTTAAATGAAGATTAGAAATGGATTAATTTCTAAACATTACTTAGAGTTGGAAACTTTGTAACAAATGGCCTTCTTGTAATGTCATGAAATTTCTCTTTGTAATATTCTTGCATCTAATCTTGAATTCATGAATCTTGAACTTTGAATGATAGATTTCTCTTATACCATTATTTGAAATGGATGAAGTCTTGAATTATGAACTTGTGATCTTGACTCATGCTTTGCAAATTCGAACTCCACTTGATCAAGAATTTGAAACAAAAATGGATGAAAAAGTCTTGAATTTGGCCTTGCATTTCATGTTCATTAGGAATATTAATCTTGAATATCCTAATATTTTTCAGGTAACTTCTCCTTGAAGAAATCTACATGAGTAGACTTTCCAACTTAGATCAAACCTTAGATGATGAACATTTTCTTCCATAAAGCTCATGATAGGCAATTTTTCTTATTTGGAATGGAAAACAAACGAACCGACCCAATCCTCACCTTGTGAACTCATATGCTCGATATGCAATAGAACAATGTATGATATGACGAACGAAGGGTATGAAAGGCTAAAGGTGAAAATGAGGGTGTGACAATCATCACCATGAAGAGCTAACAGTCATTGCGTTAGGATAACTAACGACCGTCAGACAGATGATGAGCCGATCATCTTGGCCATAGGAGCAGACGACCTGGCTAAACGTTGTCTGGGTGACAGTCAATGACGGTGACTGTTTATTGTTTAGTGTTGGTTTTATGGTGAGTTTAGTGAATTAATGAGCGATGTATTGAGCAATTTGACAGATTTAGAGCTGAGTCTAAAGTAATCAAATTGAAATTTAAAATATAGCTGGTAACTCTAAAATTTTTGAATAAAATTGAAAGAATTATAAATTAACTCTATTAAATTTTGATGTAAAATATTATTTATTCGCAAATCTTATGTGAATAAAAATATAATTACATCTTATCTTGAATTATAATTACTTTTGTAACTTTGTTAAATAATTTAGAATGTTGTTTATTTAAATATTTTTTAAATATTTTAGATTATTTTGTTTAAAAAAAATCGTCTTTTTGTTAGTATAAAGTTTGTGTTGGATATTATTCCACTTTTTTTTTTCAAGAAATTGAAAATTTTGTCAAAAAAAAATAGTAACATAGATATTATTTTTTGATTAAGTGTTACGTCGACATGCGAACAAAACGACAACTGCCAAAGAAGTAAACAAGGACAATACAACTGAACTACAGTAACAAGTGGCTCATCAATCATTCATATTTTTCTTTCTTAAATAGACCCCATCTTTCTCTACATTGCACCATCCTTTCATCTCTCACCAACCAACACGCTACGCGGAAACCTTCTAAACCACAAAATGACAGACTCCATAACTGGTACTCATTTCATTGCAATAGCTACCTGGTTTGCACCTTCTCCCCTTTTCATCCTTGTTAACCTTGTCATTGGTACCATAGCTCTCGTTTCTTGCATCAGTGCTGCACCTAAAATCAAAATCATCCAACGAGCCAAGTCCTTTAATCCCCGTCACTACAACAATAACCAAGAACCAACATCTAGTGCTACACAACCCGAGTCAGGATCCGAGTCTACTCAACCCCAACTCGTTCAAACACCAACCCCGTTAAACCGAGTCGTGTCCTTCAATCTCTCCCTTCATAAACTTGCGCCAGTAAAAACAACACATTACCTTCAACCCGAAACCGAAAACTCGTCTGTGGAACTGGATCCAAAACTGGTTTGTGATGAGGAGAAGAGCTCGGTGGAACTGAAGAGATCGGTGAGCGAGAAGGAGTGTTCGATGACGTTGGAGTGGGAGGAGGAAGAGGATGAAGAAGCGTTGGAGAGAAGGAGGCCAGCGACGGCGATGGCGAGAAGTGAAACGACGACGTGTAAAGAAGATGAAGGAGTTGACGCGAAAGCTGATGATTTTATCAACATGTTTAAGAACCAACTGAGGTTGCAAAGGCTTAACTCTTTTGTCCGCTACAGAAACACACTTACACTTCCATCCTTTGAATAGTCATGGTTGTTCATGGATAAGATGCAAAATACTATTTATAAAAAGAAACAGAAAAAGAAAATAATTCTGTGGTAAAAAAAAACTAGGATTTTATCAACATGTTTGATTTGGAGATAGTTTCAGAGAAGTTTAATACAATATTATTTCACCATTAATAACTATGATATTTTGTTCAAGTATGCTGTGGTAGATTTTTTTGGAGAATTGATTCACGGTATGGTACAAGAGAATTTGAAGCTCCTGCCGGTAGACTTTTGCCGTGTTTACGTTGTCAATATATATAAATTATTTGATCTTCATCATCACAATTGAGAGATTGATTGCTCATATTTACTTTTGTTCCACAGTCAATATCTGCTTCATATTAAATAATAAAAATAAACATCTTGCTCATATTTTATTTCTCATTACATTTAAATAACTAAACAATTAGCATAGATTAAATCGATAAAATACTCCTCATGTTTCAAGTTCTAAAATAAACTATTCAAATATATTAAATAAACATAAACATCAAGCTTTTGATGAATTCATAATAAAAAGTAGTAAGGAAATAGAACCTAGAAATAAATCAAATTGGACTTCATATTAAATATGATTTGAAGGAGGACTTCAATTCAAATACAGTTGTGCCGAATGTAAATACAACAACAACAAAAAATAGCTTGAAAAATGCATATAAATAAATTGTATAAAAAGTCAAATGCAAAAATTGAATGCTAAAAATTAAAGTGAATTTAATGCAACAATGATTGGATCCTTTTACAATTCATTACAAGACTATTGGTAGGAAAATCTGCACTCTAGAAAGTGGTATAAAACGTCCAAAAATCGTGCAAAACAGCCTGAATTGTGGAAGGATCGCCTGAGAAATTGTTGGAACATGGGGAAACTAAGTGTCATGATGCATGACGGTCTGTCCGTAATGACGTTCGGGCAATGAGTCTCTAAGTTCTGGGTCTATGGAGAGCGTCGGTCTGTCCGTCATGACGTTCGGACAATGAGTCTCTAAGTTCTAGCGCTAACGGCCTGCCCATTTTGATCATGAAGGGCTTCTTCCTTTCTTTGTCTTAGGAGCCATGATGGTTAGCTCCTCTTGGAGCATGACGGTCGTAATGGCCTCCGTCAACAATTCAAAAACATGATTTTTCTTTGTTTTTCTCCTCTTTCTTCCGTAATCGTTTCCAATCATTTTGTACCTGAAATTCATAGTGAAAAGGCAACTTATTGAAATTAAATTAACTTAAAATGACACTAAAACTTATAAAAATCGAGTAAATTACAACGGTAAAAGTACTTGTTATCATACTCCTTCACACTTAAATTGTTACTTGTCTTCAAGCAACTTAGCTTGCATGAAAGAAATGAAATGCAGCAACACATGTGAAAATAGCCCGTGAAAAATACTAACAATAATACTCATACGTGATCCCAAATTCGGATCGGCTAGAGGTCAATTCTATATGTACTCAAATTAACACCAAGGATATTGTCTAAACACAAACCACAAATTGCGGACTAAAATCTCCTGCATAACATACCAATTCAAACCATGGTCTTGTACCTAAGTCACTTTATCCTATTTTTTTATATCCTTTCATTCGGGACAATCACATTAAGACATTTAATATAAAGATAATCATCACATATTTGTTCATGCTTGCATAATGATTTTTTATTTATCATAAGTACATACATTTAAGCACAAATTTTTATTTGTTTTTTTTTTAATTTTTTTTTTGGACATTAGGGTTTAACCACCATTTAATTAAGTAATCAGGTGAGGGTTATCAAACTTAGTAAGTGCAATTGTCTTTTACTGCCATTTTCATTTTTTTTTATAAAAATTTTGGCTAACCAAACTTAGTGTGGGAATCTAAAATATGTCCTAGTGTATAAATGAATTACTCGAAGGTCTCCCCAAGAAAGTCGCAACTGTCGCAGCGCAAAAAATACCACGGGCGTTCGCACGCCCAAAATAATAACATAGTCGCCACCAAAGTTTATTTATTCTAGAAGAAAATGAAAAATACCGATAAAACCTTTAAAGAAAAAAGAAATTGTCGTCTCAACCAAATTTGAGTTCAGGAGTCTGTTATGCGAGGGGAAGGTATTAGCACCCCTTGCATCCGCCGTACTCAGCGGAACTATTTAATTAGCTTTGGGAATAGAATGTTAACTTTCGTTTTTTTTTCTTATGGTTATTAAAAATGAAAAGAGAAAGACTAAAAGTAGGGTTTTTTATTAGGGTGTTTGTCGAGACATTGAATCTCATTCATATGTTTGCATCACTTGCTATCCAAAACATGGAGAAATGAACATTTGTATCGCGTCAGAATGGACAACATAATCTGAATTCTCATTGATTTATGTTCTCATTGCATTCGAGCGGAAGACGTTCTTTCCTCTTGCGCATGGAAGGAACTAAGCGTTTTTTTGCATCGTCTCATAATGGACGAAGCATCTTTCATTTATGAAAAGGTTTTGACATCACACTAAGGAGGAAATAGTTTATTTTATTGGTTGAGTTTATTTAGGTGGATGACGAGTAATCTCACAGTGAGCACTACAGTTAGTATTCAAATACTCAAGGAAAAAAGAGGCCTACTGTTGCGGCGGAAAAAATTGTTGAGATTAAGTTATTGATTAACTGAACTCAGAAAGTAAGAGTCGCCAACGAACTTTATTATTTCCAAAGGGAAAAGGGAAAAGGTCGAACAAAACCCACAAAAAGCAAAAAAAACTAAAAAAGAGAGATTTGGATACGGGGGTTGGTTATGCAAGGGAATGCACCCTTCACATCTGTTTTACTCAACGAGAACCACTTGCAAATATGTGTTTATAAAAATCTTGGTTTTTGTTGATTGATTTTAAGCAAGGTTGTCAAACTCGAGAGTCTACTCAGACTCGTAAAGGGTCTGTAGGCTCGACTCGCAGACTCAACTCGCAAACTCGTATGAGTCTATGAAAAATTAAAAATGACTTTTAAAAACCTATAAGTGACACATATATGATACACTTATATGTTTTTATACTTCTAAATTCCTCGTTTATGAGATAAATATATAATACAACACCAATTATCATGAAAGTTTAAATTTCATACTTCATAACAAATATCTTAACAAAAAAACTTGATGGTAAATGTTGCACCCTAAAATTTGACCAACCGGGTCTCGTATCTGGCTCGATGTTTCGACGCATTACCGCATTCGCATCTGCATATTGCATACAGTGCATTTTTCATTTGTTTTGATTTTATAGGGATCACAGCTCTCGTCTCGTGTTTCAGGTGTTTCTTATCAGTTTAAGTAGGTAGAATCGCATTTTTGGGATATTTCGGTGCCCGTTTATTTTTACCGGCTATTTTGGTGCGCTCTCGCGGTGTTATGTGTCGTTCGGTGCTTATTTTGTTCCCCTGGAAATTATTGGGATTTTTCTGGATTTTATTGACCATTTTTAGATTTTAAATAGATTTTTAATCATTTTAGATATTTTTAACAGTTTTAATCATTTTAGGATTTAATAGATTTTTTAGGATAATATAGATTTTTCTAGAATATTAATTAAGTTTTGGAATTTAATTTTAGATATAAAGAATATAGTTTTGTTTTTCTTTTATAGAAATAAATAGGTTTTTCTTTTATTTTCTTTTATAGAATTTAAATAAATAATATAGTTTTTTTATATAGTTTTATTAGAGGTTTATTAGAAGTATATTAGTGGGTTTATTAGATTTTTTAGAGTATTATTAATTAGGAGTTAATTAGAATTTTTAGGATTAATTGAGTTTTTATAGTTGATTAGGCTTAGCTCATTTAGTTTTAATCTTGTATTAATTCTTTTATGCAGTTTTTTTAGGTTTTATTTGCAGATCCGTTGGGCCCATTTCGCAGGTCAGAAGCCCATTTTCGCATCAGTCCAATGCCAAGTCCATTTTTTATCCAAAAAAGTCCAGTATGATCCAGCGTTTTCCAGTATAATCCAGAAGCTTCCAGAGTTCTCAGCATTTAAATAGTTTCAGTAACACGTGTAAACAAGAGGATGGCCCCACGTTACACTCCATTTCCATGCCACCTCACTCCCTTCAGACCTTCTCTCACTGCCACGCATGGGACACGCGTCCCACATGCGTTCACTCACTCCACTCACCCCTACACGCGTCCACCATGCGTCCCTCCACCATTCTTCACCGGCGAACGTCACCGGCCGGCATGCATGGCCGGCAGCCACCGCACCCCTCACCGGAAAATCAACTTCTACCCAGAAACCACCCATCTTCATCCCTTCTCCTACAAGTTTTTCCAGACTCCGATCAATAACCACTTCCGGCCACCATGAGCTTCCACCGGAAACATCAAAATCCCATAACTTCCTCTAACCTTCATAATCCTCAACTTCGTTCAAACCCAGAAAGCTCAGAAACCTCCATCTCCATCTTCTTCTTCCATCTTATCCGTTCAACAAACAACCTTCATGATCTCCACATTCATCATCTTCAAGATCAGATTCCCAGAAAAAAAGCTCCAACGAACTTCAGTTCAACAAACATCAATCATCAACCACCGATCAAGAACTCCATCACCTTCAAGCAATGTTCATCATGATTTGCTCCAAGATTCATTCGTGATCTTCACCTTCAAGCTTCTCCAGAAGAACGTCATCAAGAGCCATCATCTAGTCGTCCGTCTTCAAGCCGTTTCCAGATCTCGTCAAACCTTCAACCATCCATCGTCAACAACGTCCGCAAGAACATTCTGGGTTCATCCTTGTTCATGACCATATTTCATCATCGTCTTCATCAGACTCAAGAACATAACTGTTCATCAGCAAACGCCTCCAGATCATCAAATCCACGCGCATCTCAACGTTGAAAACCGTCAACACAAGTCTCCGGCAAGTTCAACACATTCTTCAAGATCTTCAATGATCTGATTTCGTCCAGAAACTTCCATCACGTCTGGTCTCCAAGAATGTCAAGGAAGGAGGTTTCCAAATTG